GCTTACTTAACGATTGTTTCTTAGTTTGCATAGTACATACAGTGTTGAATTGGAAGACAACTGGGAACTATAAATTGGGAAGGCTCTAGAAGGACATAGTTGTGGTTCATATAAGGAACTATCTTGGTGTTTGGCTGGAGGACTGAGGAAAATCATGGAAGGATGTTGTTCAGGACAAGAAGCCTTCAGGATGAGAATCAAACTTGGAACTTCTTGAATATGAACTAGGCGTGACATATCTTAATACACACACATACAGGGATCACATAACAACAGGAAATCATCTTCTAAGGTCACTGAGGCTGCATTATGGCAGACCTTATACTACAAGGTGCATTCCGTATATAATGCCTCCTATTCTTTTTTAATGAAAACTACGATACAGAAAGCATAATAACACAGTTAAACTGAGCAAGATTTCAGCTACTTACAGTAATTTTTCCATATAATCACTAGCATTTGTTATGCATTTTTGCCAGCGATGAACAAGAGCCTGTATACCACGCTCGTAAAAGTCTCTAGCAGCAGAGGCAAGCCACTTTTACAGCTGCAATGACAGCATCGTTGTCTGGAAAATGTTGCCCACGTAGTCCATCTTTCATAGGACCAAAGAGACGGAAGTCTGAAGGTGCTAAATCGGGGCTATAAGGTGGATGTGGTAGGACAGTCGAGCCAAACTATGCAATGTGCGCGGTGGTCGCAAACTGGTATGGGGTCTAGCGTTATTGTGTTGCAAGCGAATGGTTGTCTGCTTCTTTGGCCTGACTTGGGAAATGCAGGCTACCAGCTTAGTCAGCGTTGTCTTGTAGCGTTCAGAATTGACAGTCTCACCAGGCTCCAGGAAATCTAACAAAATCACACCCTGCCTATCCCAAAAGACTGCGCACATCACTTTCCCTGCCGATGGCTGTGTCTTGAACTTCTTTTTTCTTGGGGAATCCAGATGTCGCCACTCTTTTGGATTCCAGCTTGTAGTGGTGACACCATGTCTCATCTCCGGTGACGATGCTGTCCAGAAACTTGTTATCTTCAGCCTCAAACTGGTGCAACAGGTCCTGACAGACTTCCATTCGATGAGTTTTGTGGTCCTGTATAAGCATTTGTGGGACCCGTATGGAACAAACTTTGCAATAATCCAGCCTCCCCAACATTGCTTCCAATGCATAACAGCCAATATTAAGCCATGCACACAGTTCCCTGGTCATTATCCGGCAATCTGTACGATGAGCTGATCGAGGCACTGTTCACTGTGAGAAGTGGCAGCTGAGCAGGGACGCCCAGGGCATGGCTTGTCGTGCACTTCACTTTCTCCACTGTTGAAACGCACTACCCACCGCCTCACTGTGCTGACATCCACTGTATCGTCTCTGTACACCTTTAGCAAGTGTTGATGGCTGTCAGTGGGGGCAATTTGTTCAGCAGTAAGAAAATAACACGTCTGTTTCGTATGCACTTCTATGCCAGACGCCATTTTGGTAGACTGCTCTGCTGTCGCTATATGTCGCATGACAACCAAACTAACAGTACATTGGCGGAAAAGTTCAACCTTTACTACAACACTACCAACATCCAGCTCAAATGTTACAGATTAACAAAAAAAATAGGAGGCATTATATATGGAGTGCCCTTCGTATTTGAATATTATCAAAAAACGTGTTATTAAATTAGCAGATTTTGGTGAAGTAGGCTTACTGAGGAGGGTTTGTGCTGGACTCTGCAAATCCCTGTTCATACTGCTCAATAATATCCCTATGTTATCAAAAGGCACTGACATTTTGAAAATAGAAACAAGAACTTTTAGGAGGAACCAATGGGCTACTTTCCCTTAACATGGACCACACAGACAGCCAAAAAATTAGGGAGGCCACCCAGACAGTACATTGATCTACATCTCTTAAACCCCCCCCCCACACACACACACACACATGCAGGTACACACATGAGCAACACCACAATTCCATGTAATATAACTGTTGTAGAGCCATGACTTGATACTTTGGATTTAGGTTATGGTATTTCCTCCACACCATACATAAATGTTACACTGCCATGACTTGATCTTCTGGAGATAAATTGTGGAATTTCCTTCACAGCACAAGCAACTGATGCACTCTTATGACCATACAAATTTAGTATATTCCATGGCCTTTCATGTGAATGTTATATTCTGAAACTGGTGAGTTGCAAGGTTCATCATTCCCAGGCAGATACATTAGGCCAAATTGTGGCCAACATACCATGGGGTCAATCTCACCCCACCCTATGACAATGAAAAATAAATTAAGGGGTGATCATTAAATATGAGCAGTAATTTAGAGAAGTTCCACAGTGTATGGTGTGAAATGACTTACCCTTAATATTGCAGGATTGTGGTGGCTGTGGACCTGTTTCAAAATGATCCTGTGGGCAGTAGTCGCCTTATGGCCTCTTGCATTCATACTTTTCAGGTCGCGGGCCGCCTTACGAAGAGCCTTCCGTATCCGGGCTTCATTTGGGTTGTAGGTGTAATCTGAGCAGAGGAAGAATGATTTTCAGATTGTAGCATTTCATTAAAAATTACAAAATGAATTTATAATTTATGCTATTGGCCAGATATAATTCGAATGATAAATTCAGAGATGAGATGGGCATGCTGCACGAATGGGGGAGAAGAAGAACACATGTAGGATACTGGTGTGAAAGCCAGAAGGAAAGAGATCACTAGGAAGACCTACATATAGGTGAGAGGATAAAACTGAGATGGTTCTTAGACAGGATGGGGTGGTATAAACTGGATTTATCTGGCTCAGGATAGGAAGTAATGGAGGGTGGGGTTCCATAAAATGTTGGGAAATTCATGAGTAGCTGACCAACTGGTGGCTTCTCAAAAAGGATTCAGTTCCATGGAATTGGTTAGTTAATACTCAATTAATGGTTCTCACCATACCATTGGCAGGGGAGAGAAAAGGCCCTTAGCACAGTTTCATCCATTCTTACAGAAGCAACCCAAACACATGCGATTTCTGAACCAAATACCTGAAGTTGTCTCCACAACAGTGCTCCTGAAACAGCTACAATATGTATGCTTGTTTCTACACTTCTGTGCCCCACAGTCTTTGTGTTCGGTGAAAAATTGGTAAGTAATGACAAACTTTCAAACCTTAACAAAATGTTTCAAAGGTACATGCTGGAACTCCCAAAAGAGCCAGTCCAACAGCAGGAGTCACGATCCTGCCTTATATGAGCTCCAGTTCCCACTGACCCAGCGGGTAATGCCCGGTAAGGGCCCCTTCCCAGGGTTAAGTGGCAGGTAGACAGGGCTCATTAGCCATGGTAGGTAACCTGTCTGAAGGAAGGAAACCCTTAATAAAAACCCTGGTCCTTCAAGATAGGGGGTTTTGCAACAGGCTGGTGACCAGCTTAAGTGTAAAAGTGATACTTATAATGCTGAAAAATTGTGGCTTGATGTTTAAGGACTGAATAGGGGCAACAAGCTCAACCCTTGCAGATGATGATGATGATGGTGGTGGTGATGGTGGTTGTGGCGGGTCTGGTGGTGGTGATGCGCAAAATTTTTTAAAGAATTACTGTTAAAAATCTAATAATTTCACACCTGGCTAAGTAATCTGCTACTCTTTTAGTGAGTCTAAGGGTTCATTACTATGTACACAAGTGACCGCTACTGGGCCCTAATTTAAGTCAGATAAAGAGATGACACTGGATGTCAAAGAGTACAAGAAAACCAACCCACACTGGCCTATATATCAACTTCAACTCTAAGCATCCACTGCATGTGAAGTGCTTTGATTCAGAGAGAGTTCACAATAGAGCTTCCGTCATATTCCAGGAACAACAAGATCTGTTTAACGAAATCAGCAGCCTGAGACGTGATCTCCAGCTCAACGGTTATCCCCAAGGTTTCATTGACTCAGTCATTAATCCCAAGGGTAGCAGTCGTCTGAATAAAGAGCAAAAGCCTCTGGGATCTGTGCATATCCTAGTTCCATGCACGTGTGCGCTTTATCTCAACTTTTATTCTATATTCTCTTGTTATCTCATTTCAAATTAGTCTGGTCTCAGAAAATGAAAAAGCTGCAGTGAATCTGACATGATTAACAAACTACGTGAAATGTAAACCCGACGTCGGCATTGTTTGTATGTATATAGGGATATAGATGAATAGAGTAGAATAGGAATGTGGTTTAACATTAATGGACCCCATCCCACACATCGCACACCCTTCCCCTATCACCTCCTGCATCACCCAAGCATTCCAGGAGAACTGCGAACTCAAAGCCAAAGAGGCAGACGCCGAAGATATCAATGAATTTACCTAGCCCCCCTTTTACAGCAGAACATACTACAACTTCTGTTTTATATAATCTAATTTACTGTACTTTTACGTCAAGTATTTTCTACAAGGGTCATTCCATGTGAAATCATCCAGAAAGGTCGCTCACCATTTTAAAAAAAATCAAAATTTGTACACTTGTTTCTACATATTTTCACACCTCAAAAAAAAAATAATAAAAAAATTGTGATTCGCTCGGTTCTCCCGGTACAGCCGTTTTTATATAGTGGAAAAACGCGTTTTTGGCTCAAATGGAGGTTTGCGTCATCTTCTGTATCTCGATATCTATTGAAGCTAGAGACTCAAATGAAAAACCAATTTCTTCCTGATGATATGGGCAACAAATCATATCATTACAAGGTTTTACTCAACTCACTTCCTCTAGGTGTAATTAAGCTTGAAACTTACCTATCGATTTTGGGAAAAACTCTATTTTGACCTTCAGAAACA